AATTTGATACAAATATATAACAGACATGTGTATGACTATTCACACTGCCATAAATATGATCAATAATTGTTGCACTAGTTTTAGTTGTTCTTGTTGAGGTTTCAATGAATTGCCTAAGACCAAATTTTGATATTAAATTAGACCAATTTGTATTATCGAACTTATTTCTGAGTTTATCAGGCATAAAATTAATATTTATATCGCCTAGAATATAGTACTCAGAATATTTTGAATCAATTTCATCGAGTTGCTGTTCGTATTCAACAATCCATGATTGGCGTACTTTTGGAGGGCGGTATACATAGTTTACTAGAAACGTTTTTGTATTAGGGTAGTTTATCTCTATCCAAAGAGATTCTAAATTTTTATTTTCTAGGTCATTACGACGTTTGTAGGGCACTTTCTCATTTATGAAAACTATCAACCCCCCTCCGTTCCTTCCATTTCTATCCTTTCTTTCAAAAACAAAGTTTTCTGTTTTCAAATTATTATTATAAATATTTTCATTTAGATATGTTTCACAAATACCAAAGATATCTGGTTTGTTCATTTTTCCTAGATGATATCTGATTTCATCCATTTTTGGCATCAAATGTTGTATATTGACGAACGCAAACCGCAAGCCATTAGAACAATAGTCAAAAGTGTTGATATTGTTTTGATTTGTAACATCGTTTCCATTTCCAGGTTTATATAAAGTAGTAAGCTTTTTCTTGTTTACATTATATTCTAAACTAAGTAGTCTTCTTTTAAAATAGCTATTAAAAGTATTGAAAAATAAATTATCAACAAAACACGATTTATATCGATAATAACGATACAAATTTGATAGCAGTTTAAAAATTAAAGTGTATGTATGAACGCTACAGCATAATTTAACAACGCTTATAAATGCCATTATCCATATATATTGGTAAAATGAATAGCATATAATCGATATTACTTTATCATATTGTTCTCCTGTTTCCGATGTACATAGATAATGTACTTTAAAAGACTCACATGCATTTTTAAGACTAACGCTGTAACTTATATTACAAACCTCATAAAATTTGTTAGATAAATTGTTAAAGTTATTTTCATAAAAACATTTACATTTGTATGAATTACAATCATAAAATAAACTAATCAAAACCCATACCTAATTTCTGAGCTATACATAGTGTCATATGAGTGCCAGTCAAAAATAGCCTAATGTGAATAATGCATATGTCTATATAGTGGAGTTTTTCCATCTCGTCGGCCAGGGGGTTGATTTCATCAATAATCGAGTCTTCTGCTATTTATAACATCATTTGTAAGTCTGCACTGAGCCGTCACGTGATTATTACGTCCACAGTTGTCGCAATGAATCCTGCCGTAGAGCTGATGGCGCCGACCCATGTGCCTGTCCGACTCCCTTATTTGTTTATAGTCACTACCTCCGTTTGCACGTGTAAATCGCGGCATTCCGGTACCACTTGCCGAGCGCGGCGTTCCGATTGCATGTGTAAAAAGATGCGTCTCATTAACCTAGCGTTTTGGCGGAATAATTTTAAGCACTTAATTTATTGCCATCACCAGTGTTCTAGATCCAGTTTCATTAAGGTGAATACCACCACGGTGGAAGAACAGCTTAACGACCCTCCGTCTCCGTACACGAACGATTTGTACACATCAATAAGAGTCGCGTTGATTGACGTACATATCGCACGGATTTCATCATTTAGATGCGCGACGTCTACGTCAGATCTTGGACAAATTGTACACAAGTATACACGGATTTCTTGTTTCTGGAGACTTGTAACAGTTTCTATAATATCATCACATGTTGTGGAAAGTGAAGCTTTGGAAGAGACGTCATTTCCGCCTACATGAATCATTACGTTTTTACATCCATTAATATTCCAGTGACGGACCCGTGAAAGCGCGTCACTGGCTCTAGCTCCGCGGATGCACCCAGTTCTTACATCTGAACGGAGGCCTTTCTCTTTTATTCCTTTCAGTATTGAGTCTCCGAGAATGACAGTATCGGATTTTTGTTTGTACGGAGTCTTAGCATTTGTGGAAGTTTGTTCATGACCGTCATGGAGTTCTGGATTCCGAGTTGTGTGAACAGGGGGGGGGGATAATATTAGGTGTTTCAGTTTCTGTGTGTGAAATATTGTGTCCTTTGTCGTGGAAGTGTTTACGAATGTCATGAACAGACTGTACTTTCTTCAGCAGTGTTTCTGAATATTTGGCGATGTCATTATCTAATTTCAAAGTGCTATCGCACAACGAATCAACTCGATCATTAGTATTAGAATTTATTTGCGATACTTGCCGTTTTGTGCTGATTATTTCATCTCGTAATTGGCCTACTTGATTTTGGTAGCCCAACGCTTGATCAGTAAGAGAAGCCTTCACTATTTTCAGTTGAATTTGTATATCGCGTACCAAATCAACGATGTAATTACTGTTTATACCACACTGTATTTCAGTCTGTACCGAAATATTAGATATACTATTGGTATTATCAGTGTTAGGATTGTCACTGTCTGATTAAGAAATAACATCGACTTCATATTTCCGATCCTTAAAGATCGTTCAGCACGACATTATTGTTGTGCTTGTGGTATTTTAGTTCTTTCTATTTGGCTATTTTCTTGTTGGGTGATTCCAGTATTCCTCACTTAAATACTGTTGAATCACCCTTAGGATATGTGGCCTGCTTTTTAAATTTGTCTTTTAACGTCTTATCTGTGATATGCAGGCTTCATAACGTCTGATCCCCTTTAAAAATTCCATTTTATTTAGTTCCGCCCATTGTTTTCTCGTTTAGGGCACACGCATTTTTTTACTTGGGGACCATATGCCGCTTTTCATGGAATGGAACGTGTCACATTTAAGGTTCCATGATAACCGCCATATGAACACATCTGCGGATGTTTCAAAATTCTAAATTGTACCAGTTCATGTTAAATGTTGAATTCTGCTTAAGCCGGTGCTAGGGGGCGTGGACGGTAGTTTGCACTTGACAGTACCGTCCATGAACAGGCTCAATCAAACCGAGCCTGCAACATTTTCAATTTTGCCGTGTTGGGTTTTCTTTGGGAATTCTTATTTTCTCTATTTCAGTTGAACTATTACACTCTATAGACAACGGTGAGCATTTGCTTGGTTCTGACTCACACTTTTTATTATTAAGATGCTTTGAAATCAACTGTCTAATGTTGTTATTTAGATTCCCTACGGTACATGTTCCTTTTTGAACTTCGTACTCTATGCAATGTAGAATATCGTAAAGCTCATTGCTCATAAAATGTCCTGTATCCCGGCCATTGATAAGAGCAGACGATATTTTGTGGTACATATTTAAAGTAAACATACTTGCACGCCCGTTTGACATTTTATATATGGTTTCAACGAGGTTCCCTTTGTTGTCACAAACTGGTATGATTTTCTTCGTATAGTTCACTTTATCAGAGGAATAATAGCATTCAGTTGCGTATTTGAAAATTCATACATACCAGTGCTCATTTTTAGTCTCACTCCTCCTCCGGTTTCTGTCACCAAAAAATCTTCCTGATCATTCGCAGCAAGCTTTTTCCTCAATTTTTTATCTCTATTTAGTGAATAATCCTTAATCTCGGTGGAAATGTCATGAGTTTTCTCATCATTTGCCTCCTGTTTGTCCACTTTCGGTTCAGAATTTTCCAGCGCAAATTCAATTTTGGCTGACATTGTCCAAATAACTCTCAAAATTAGAATAATTTTGATATATTCTAGAAGATCGAGAAAATCTGCATCAAATCACATCGTGCCCGGTAGTACAGTCCCTGAGGACCTTTTGTGTGCAAAAAAGGTCCATGGATAAATGATACATCAATTTAAAGCTAAATGTTTGAAGATTACAAAAATTTTGGGTAGACATGTCAAATCATGGTACGTTTTGAGAAATCCAAGATGGCCGCCAAGATGGCCGCCAATTTATTGAAAAATGGCTAATACACATTTTATTTGATAAAATTAGTTATTTTTTGTACTTATTTCAGTAAAAGTGATGTAAGAACTTCGTATTCAGTTGGATCAATGTGAAAATGAGCACTTTTTTAAATTTATTATATATTATCTGGATTTCTTAGTTGAATTCTACAGAAAATTGCATAAAAATATAGCTAAATTACGGTATGGGGTTGAAATTTTTACCTATTAGTCCAAGCAAAGTGAATAAATTGAATATTTTAACCATCTATTACAACAACATGGACAACCTCTATCCAATAATACCATTGTCTATGTCTTCGGTCGAGTAAAGACCTTGATTCTTATTCATTCAAAGTGGGTGGGGTAAATGAACATTGTACCACAGTTTCTAGTAAACATTTTGTTATGATTATTGATACTTAAAATAGGCAACATGTATTGCTCTTTTGCATGTTCATGAATCTATAAACACTTTTAAAGTATATATTTGATATCTGCATTCTTGCAAATCATATTTGATATTTTCGTTGCCATGGCAACAAGGTGCTGAGAAACGCAAAATGAAAGATACCAGGAGCATGAATGGCCTTAACGTTAAGCATTGCAAGTATGTACATGGACTCACTGACATGATCATACATTACACAAACTCAAGACAAATAAACTGGACAAATTTACACTGTTACTATGGTAACAAATTTAAAATATAAAGGAGTTAATTCCAGGGATAACTTATGCTTAAAAACCTTAATACATTTCAAGAACTCTTATAACACAATTTTCGTTTTTGTCAAACCATTTTTTTCATAGTAACAAAACATGACTAATGGATATGTTACTATGGAAACGTGTACACATACATTCGCCTGCACATACGCGTGCATATACACATTACATATTTGTATATATATGTATATAACATATATATAATATTGTTTTAATATATAGATAAATACACAACTATATATACATATATATTTGAATGGTTAAAATTAAAAAGGGAAAGATAAATAAATGAATGTAATACTCACTAGAAATAAGATAACTTTAGCTTAAGCTGTAAAAAGTTACCTCCCTTTGTTTACTATTCACCATTTGTAAAACAGCAGACGACGAATAACTGGTGCTTATTTTCGTTGGATATTAATGCTCTGGGTATGTATTATTTTATTGTAATAACTTTTCTATCATCAATTTCATTAAAATAAATAGAAATTATATTTATTTCAAAAATTTTGTAATGCCAATGGCTCCTGCTCAATTTTTTTTCAAAGTGTAATAGTTTTCGGATGTGCACTTTTCGGATAAAATATCAGACTTAAGCAGTATTTATCTTTTTTGCAGGTTCGGCAGCTGGTGTTATATTAAAATTTCCTATATGGAGATATAAGAAGATGCAGCTTGATGAGAAAAGGTTTGTGTTTCATTATATATAAAATATTTGATCTTACACTTGTACAAATATACAAAACAAAACAGCAATTTATTCATTTTAAGGTACAAAAATATTATTTAATACAGTCTTGTATATAATTACTCAGAACATAACCATGTTCTTCTGTAAAGTATTACTGTATTATCATGGTCTTTACATATGAATCATTATATCATTATATCATTAAACATTGTACAATGTGACATCAATAATTGTCAAATAACTTCATTTTGTTCTTTTCTTTACAGCATGATTTGGTTGTTATCACCTGATAAACTTAATGATGTGTGAATGTATGCAGCGGAATTTTTATGTTGGGGCTTTTTCTTCTTTCTAAAATAGACGCAGCAGATATTGTTACAAAGGTTTGTGATACATTGTCTTTTGTTTATAGAGAAATATTACATGCTTGTTAGCTACACAATACAAAACATGAATGGAAATATTGCATAAAAGAAATAATTTTATTTAACTAAATGAAATAACTTTATATACATTAACATCACTGTTTCGTGTAAATTTGGTTATAGCTTGTTATTCGTCCATGCATTTTTGTTGATAATACTGTGCTATAATATAAACTTTTTCTATCAATCTATGTAATGGTTTTATAGCAGCTGAACTTAAATGTATTTATCTAATATGACTTAATAGACGACTGCATGAACAAATAAAAGGATGCATTAATGCTCCGTCTTTACAAAACAATGTATCACAATACAAACAATGTTTTGCATAAAAATATTTCTAAAGATATTTTAAAGAAATAACTCTATTATGGACTTATTTGTAGATTGCCCAAGCATGTGGAATATTATTTCTTTCTGTTATTGGTACTGGACTTGATGCAAACAAAGTTCTTACAGCTAAATGGTACACATAAAGTTTCCTATCATGTGAGTGAATGTATAAGTAACAACAATTTAATGTTTTGATACAAGTTGATTGACGTATCAAAAATAAGAATATAATGTAACTTTGATATGTTTTAATTCGTCCTTCACAATGACGTCTGTATGTTAAAACGCACGTTTGTTAATAAAAAGTATTAAACATGTTGTAGGTTGTTATGCATACTTTATGTTTGATTTCGGTTTAACTGAATGCAATTATCAAAAAATATTTGATTTCCGTGTTATAGAATGCAATTATCAAAAATATTTGTAAACACTAATATCTTGTTTCATTGACTATGAAAAAAAATGCAAAAATTATCATTAGTTTTTTATGTTTTTTTTTCTTTATTCACAGGTACATAAAACCACTTTCAAATGGAACATATTCCTAAAAAAAAGCCAAGACTTTTATTCAGCGATTTTGATGTAAATAAGTGCATTATATGCCAACATGAGATTGCAAAGGCAACAACAAGTTCTATCAATGGCCGTATGGCAATCAAAAATGCTGCCAAAATCAGAAATGATGCTGTTCAGGATAGACTGTTAAGATTAGAAAATGATTATTTTGTTTATCATGTGTCCAATGAATGTTACAAGTCATACACACTTAAAAAGACCCTATCTCTTGTAACCAAAAACTCCTGCACTTATATAAGTGATGACAATAATAATAATAATGAATGTAAAACACCAAAACGTGTATGTCGTTCTAATGTAAAACCATTGACTAAAGTATCTCCTGATGAAAATCAAAACAAAATTACGTGTATTATTTGTAACAAGATACGTCATAAAGGTGAACATGAAAAATCTAAAATTTCTGGTAGTTCTATGGCCAGAAAATTTTTGCATGCCACAATTTATTTTAAAGATGAGGTTTATATCAGAACATGCAATTTACAAGATGAATATAGTGTTTTTGGTGCAAATTTATTTTACCATAAAAAATATATGCGTAAATATGTAAAACACTATGATGAAAAGCAATCCTGTATACAGAACTCAAATGAGGGTGTCAAATCAGTCAGAGAAAAAGTATTCATTGCGGGTATAAGTGAAATACACACAATACTGAAAAGTGGAAACACTATACATCTGAGTGACATCAGACAAAAATTAAATCAAACTCTTGAGGAAAACAGCTTCTTCTCGAACAGAGATTTACGGATGCTATTGATGGATCATTATGGAGATGATGTATTTTTTGTAAATCACCTCACTCAAAGAAATCGGCAACTGTTAAACTACATTCTGCAAATACAGTTGATACAATTCATTCTCTAGAAATTGTCGAAGATGCTGCAAAGCTACTCCGGGACGAGGTTTTTTGTACTGATTTCAACCTTTCTGATAAATTTGGTGACTCTAATGATATAAAACAGTCTTGGACTGGTACAGGTATTCCTACTGCATGGTGTACATTTTTAAAAGTTCTTTTTAACTTTAAAGACAAGAGCGAATGTAGCTCAAATTCTCAGGAAATTGACAAGAAATGTGATGCAAATTTTCAATGTGATGACAGCAGGAAACGTTCTGATTTTTGTCTTAATTTTGAAGATCAACTAGAAGAAACTGATGACATAGATGATAATGGCTTTGATGATTCTGATGAAGAAACAGATGGTGGAGAAAAGCTTGAAGTCAATGACAGGAAAACAACAAGAATGAAAGCTTTGTTTCAAATAGTTTATTTTAATGTCCATAGTGGACGAAAAAGAACACCACTACACATAATGAACGCCCAATCAATATATGACAAATGTAAGAGCAGGGATCTTATCACTTCGTTAAATCACTTTGGATTGTCAATAAGTTACAATGAGCTACAAAAGTACCATAAGGATATTGCAAGTTACGTGGTCAGCACAAGTAAGGGGTCTGTACCAATACCTTCTAATTTTGATACACAGACCTTCACAATAGCAGCTTTTGATAATTTTGATCATGAAGAGGCAACACTTTCTGGTATTGATGGAAGTCATGATACTGTTTCAGTTCTTTTTCAGAACAAGTCTACAGTTAATACCAAAAAACCTACACTGTCCGAAATTGGCATTGTCCATGGTTCTAAACCATTTCAAGAACAATTGAGATGTCAAAGTCTTCAACCATATACTAGACCTTTTTCAAAACCAGACCTGAAAGTGAACTTCATCCTTGATGACACCATCTCTAACGGGAATGCAAATATGTTGTCTTACTTTAGAAAACAAGATGTTGCATGGACATTAACTAGACTTGATTTGTCAAAATTTTCCAAATCCGTAATTGATTATAACGAAAGAGAGCAAGTAGTACCATCTTGGAGTGCATTCAACTCTTTAGTATCACAAGAAAATATGAAACAGAAGATTGTTGGATTTTTGCCAGTGATTCCATACCCTGTTACTGATTACCAAACAGTTTACACCTCCTTAAGAAATTTTCAAGACGTACTTAAACAATTAAATCAAACTCACCTGCCAGTTACATGTGATGAAGGGGTTTACCACATAGCCAGAGAAATTATAATGGAAAATCCTAAGGACTTTGACAACATTGTGCTTTGTCTAGGATCCTTTCACATGGCTAAAGTATTTCTGGGTTGTATTGGCAAGTATCTCCGCAATAGTGGCGCTGAAAATATTTTGACGGAAAATGCAGTGTTTGGACCAAACGTTGTTCATTCTGTACTGAACGGGTCTCATTATGTACGGTCTTTCAAAGGAATGTTGTTACTTTGCGAAGCAATGGAGCGACTTCAATGGAATAATTTTTTAGAAACTTCTGGAACCAACCATGACCAATTACAACCACTGTTTGATCTTAGAGAGTCTGTTTCCAGGAAGGAATCACAAAGAAGCATTTGTCATCTTGAAAACTTTTTAAAGTCGTCTTCAAGCTTGTTTGAAGATTTTGACCTATACCGTTCTGAAAGATCTAAGACAAGCGAAACATTTAGATACTGGGATCATTTCATTGAAGTTGTTAGGCTCCTACGCAATCTTGTAAGAGCAGATCGGGAAGGTAACTGGTTTCTTCATTTGTCAGCAGTTCAGTCTATATTGCCATATTTTGCAGCCTTTGACAACGTGAACTACTTACGATGGTGCTCGGTATACCTTGAAGACATGAAATTGCTCCCTGACACTGCTCCTGAAGTCTTTCACAACTTTTGCAATGGACAATTCGTTGTCAAACAAACAACAGGCAAATTCAGGGCAGTAGGTGCAGATCAGAGTTTAGAGCAAACCATTAACAGAAGTCAGAAAAGTAGCGGTGGAATCATAGGAACAACTAGAAAGAAAGATTTCGTGACCGAATGGGAGATAATATACCATGAGATGTTAGCTGTTTGTAATTTGCACCGAGAAATAAGTGGAACAAAATCATTACAGCATGAATTAACGGTTCATCATGAGTTTTCGACATCTGAGATTGATGCCAGAGAAAAAAATATTTCTAACATGATGGAATACATAGAGCACTATGAAAATCCATTCAATGTCCAACATGACACAGAAATGAGGTTACATAATATAATTACACAAGAAGTCATGAACGATGAAATTCGACAAAGTTTAATGGAAATTAAAGAAAAGGGTATAGAAGTCTACGCTTCATTTAGACAAGAAAGATTAATAAATAAGACAGTTCGACTCTATGAGCCAATTCACAGACAGAATGTTAAAACGTTCAGCTCAATTAATACAGATTCAAATTCAAAGGTTAAATCTAAAGAAAAAAAAACATGCAGATTTAGCTACTGGTCATAGGTATCTCGAAATTTGTCAAGCAAGAGGCCATTCCACCAAGGAACTATTCAAATATGATTTAGTTGAATCAAACTGTCTTTTTGACCAAAATGGATTAATGAGGAAAACGTCAAAAAGTGACTTGTGTCGTCAGTTAGAAAAATATGTTGTCAACAATGACGAAACTTCCCCTGCAAGATCTGATAATGCAAAAATCGTATGGCTGGTAGATGTTATGGCTAATATCAGAAAGGTTAACCTGAGGAATTTGAGCACATTTGGCAATCTATGTGAAGCTTTTTTTCATATGATCATTGCCATTTGCTACAACGCATTGAGAATAGATTTCGTGTTTGATTCATACATTGACAATTCCGTCAAAGACACAGAGCGGTTAAGACGTTGCAAGAAAAAGCCGATAGAGATCAATATAATCACATTGGATACACCTTTACCTGTAAATATTGACACATTCTGGTCATCTGGGAAAAACAAAACAAAATTACAAAGTCTTATAAGACAATTGATATTGGACAATGCAAAGACAGAAACCATTGAATTTGTTGTAAGTGGAACATTGCAATCACAGTCATCTGAGCATTGTGAGTCCCTATTCAAAGACGTGAAAAGACCAATTCCTGAACTGGATTTAAGTATAGAAGAGGCTGATGTTCGTCTCATTCCACACGCATTACATGCAACCCTGCAAGGCGGGAAACGCTGTGTTCTCCTCTCCAACGACACCGATGTGATGGTTTTAGGACTGCATTTTTACAATAAGCTAAAGTCAAATGGCTTACATGACTTGTAGATACGGGCAGGCACAGGCAATTCTACTCGTTTCATACCTCTGCACCAAATTGCCATTGGGGAACCACAATTATGTGATGTTCTTTTAGCAGCACATATATTAACAGGATGTGATATGACCAGTAAAGTTGGTACAAAACTCTCTGCAATCAAAGCAAAACCTGAATTATACTTAACTGACTTTAGAGAAAATGCAATTTTGAATGCAGAACAATATCTTGTCAATGTCTTAAGGCAAAATACTACATGTACAACAATGGATGAATTGAGATTTTATATTTACCATACAGGTAAAGCAATTAATCTGTCTGATCTGCCTCCCACCAGCACTGCTATTCGTAGCCACATTTTAAGAAGTTTGTTTGCTTATTTTATGCAGACAAAATGTCTCAATGAATTTAATATCAATCCAAGAGAGTTTGGCTTTGAAGAGATAAATGGTTGTTTAATGCCAAGTGTTGTTCCTTCACCTATCCCAAGAAGTCTTGTGCAAGTATGTAACTGTAAATTATGCGCAACAAAGAGGTGCTCATGTA